TTACTCTTTTGTTAGTGTATTATTATCTTTTAAAATTTGTGTTTTCTTATATGTAGATGTAGAAAGGCTACTGTTTCAACTGTGTAACCTTCCGAAAATAAAGAAGTTATTATGATTATTATTATTATCCAGTACAGTGAAAGAAGATCCAGTTCTTCATCTTTGGTTGAAATTCCACTATGATATGAACATATAACAGACCTATGATTGGATGTAGAAAGGCCACTGTTTCAACTGTGTAACCTTCCGAAAATAAAGAAGTTATTATGATTATTATTATTATCCAGTACAGTGAAAGAAGATCCAGTTCTTCATCTTTGGTTGAAATTCCACTATGATATGAACATATAACAGACCTATGATTGTTTATGATTTCCATGTGAGTAGAGGGTGACTGATTCCGAAGTGAATTGTCAGTACCTAATCCCGTTATCGAACAGTTTATGAAATTTAATATATACACAAATAAAACCGATATTGTTCTGTGCTTTATCTACGGGAATAACACCCTATTTGTCATATTAGTTCAGTTTTAGCAAAGAAGAAAAGATTCTGGATTTTAGATGGACTGAATGACGATCGATGTGTTTGGTTCATCTGACATACCACCTCATCTCTTTTTTTCTACAAATAAGCAAACTATGATTTATGGTCATATCAAGTGGAAATTTCGATCATTTAGTGGCGATAACTAGTCCCCTTTCCGTTTTGAATTTTCTTGGAGTTCGGTATTTTTGTTATTTAATTTTGACTCGCTGAATTTGCTTTTCAATGATGATAAGATGATTTTAAACCTGAGTCTAGTCATCAGATGCCGAACCTAACTTTTTGTAACCCTTCATATGATACAAAAAATATTTCCTGGACTGAGTTCCTGTACAACAATACAATGGGGTAGCAACTGTAACTGGTATTATAGATCTAGACCTGTCATTGAAGGCCTATATGTACAGAAAGTTATAGTTGGGTTCGTATTGCTCAGTCTTTAGTTTTCTATTGTGTGTTTTGTATGCTGTAGTCTGCTCTTTGGTCGGGTTGTTGTCTCTTTGACATATTCCCCATTTCCATTCTCAATTTTATAAAAATCAGTTGAAAAGGCTTAACTCATCAGATGGATACAAAGCAGAAATACATCTAACAAAAACACAGAATGGACGTGGCAGGGTACTTATATATCCCCACAACAAAAAGACACTAAGTACAGATCTGAGAGTACTCGCAGTTAATACTGACAGCTAGTCTTGTCTTGTCTTGTGTGAAGATCCTGCCTTTCAAGGCACATCTCTGGTTACAGTGTAGGATATGGGGGTGTATTTAACACCCCTAAATGTTTATTACACTATTAAAATCTAAAACAAAAGATAATTTAGATTTTAAATATTCACGCCTTTGACTGAGTGGTTGCAAGCAATCCTTTCTTTTTATTCACCGGCAATGTTAATATATTGTATTACGTCTAATGTGCAAAGCAAAGCAACGTTTTCTACTTATGTATTCTACAAAATAAAGAAAATCTGTACATCCACATTTACATTGACAGTTACAGAGCAAGGCACTAGCATCCAATATTAGTTGTGTACTAATTTCTAGTTTTTCTAATGTTCTACATTTCGGACAGAGCTCTCTTTTATTGATAAGATTTAAAAGTTCAAGCAGGTGATAGTTTCTAGCAGAAGCTAAAGCAGGACATGAATGAATGAAATGGTCTAATGTTTCAGTGTCCTCCTCGCATAAGAGACATGTTGGGTTGATGTCAACTTGGTTGAAAGCTGCCCTATTACATTGGAGAATGTATGTACCAGTAAGGAGTCTAAGTTTGATGGGGAGACGCTGGATGTCTTTTGCAGAAGTCTGGACACTTGCTAGAGCGTTGTGTAGATGACCAGTTTTATAATTGAATGTAGAAATAAATGATATACTCTTGTAGTAGACTGACATGGTAACTACATGTTCAACCCAGAAGGTGTCAATCGCTTTCCTGATAGAGTTCTTCCATTTCAATTTTGAAGGTGGTTCATCTTAAATGTTATAGATTGATGGTAGGCTGTATTTTATAAATAAAGATCTGATTTGTGTGAACCAACTGTCCTTTACGGCTGTTGAGATGAGGATTTGTCTTTCTGCGACTTGTCTTTCTATAGAGTTCTCTTGTCTTGAAATGTTTGCAAAAGTTCCCAAAGCTAGTTTATGGATTTTACTAATTACTGGAATCGTACTCGACAGTATATACACAGCCATGTATGTTGTGTTAGTGGGAATAGATAGGATTTGTTTAATGCTTTTCCGATAGAAAATTTCAATTGGTTTCAATTGTGTAGAATTTGGTAATATTATTTCTAGGCCATAAATGAGTACTGGTTACACATAAACTTGGAATAATTGTAGGCATGCTACAGGATTAAGGCCGTTCTTGCCATGCAGGCCTGTCCCCATCAAACTGTACATTGTTCTCCTGGCTTTGTTGATGTTTTCCTTGATATGGATTGTGATGGTTTGCCGCGGGTTACTGCTGTGAGTAATTCCTAAATGTACAGCAGTTTCAGCATTTTGAATAGGTGTATCATTTAATGTGAAATTGAAGTAATCCTCTAATTTTGGTTTCCCAGTTTTAATAATTTTACATTTTGTAGGCTGTAATGAATATTCCTCCTGTTGACTGTAATTCTCCACGGTTGTTAATAGGGTTTGCATATCGGTAGAATCATTTACGACCAGAGTGACATCATCTGCACAAGTTGGTATAGGACAGTGAATATGTCCAATATAGGATCCCAGTGTACTGTCCTCTACTTGGTTAAGAATGTCATTTATATATAGTTTGTATAGTTCAAAGCCAATAACAACTAATAAAATAAATCATACATCTAAGACTTGTCCGGATGATAAAAAGGGCACGGAAATAGGATAATATTATTATTTGCATAAATGATCATAAATCCGCAATATGAAGACTAGAAACAGCATTTGATTAATCGATACTCACAAGTCATTGTAAACTGCTTAAATGATCACTTTAGTTCAGTGGGAGAAAAACTTATTCCACATCCCCATTCTAACTTTGAATCAGAGAAAATAAACAATTATGTGAAATCCAAAATTAATGATAACACGTTGTTTTCACTGTATACTGTCTCAAATGGTGGTGTCTTTAAATATCTCACAAATCTAGATATTAATAAATCAACCGGGACCGATGGAGTTGGCCCAAGAATATTAAAAGTATCAAAATCAATAATTGTAGATTCTCTTACTCATATTATAAACGTTAGTTTATGTACATGTATATTTCCTGATATTCTAAAGTATGCAAAATTAACTCCGATTTTCAAAGCCGGTAATAAGGATGATCCTAACAATTATCGTCCTATCTCAATTTTACCTACAGTGTCCAAGATTTTTGAGAGGACAGTGTTTAAACAATTATATTCATTTTTAACTAAATACAAACTACTAGTACAACAACAATCTGGATTTAGAGAAAAACACTCATGCCACACAGCACTTGTCAAAATAATTGACAAATGGTTAGATGAATTTGACAAAGGCAATTTCACTGCTGTTTTATTTCTAGATTTTAAAAAAGCATTTGATACTGTTAACCATAACATCTTATTATCGAAACTTAATTTATATAGATGTGATGATCACTCTGTTAAGTGGTTTTCGTCCTACCTTTCAAATAGATTGCAAAAGGTTAAAATTGGAACAACTGAATCAGGATACAATAATGTAACATTCGGGGTCCCACAAGGTTCCATATTAGGACCTTTATTATTCTTAATCTATATAAATGATCTCCCGTTTACATTAAAACACACAGAGTCTGAATTATATGCTGATGACACAACTTTGCATATATCGTCTAAATCTATTTCAAACTTAAACTCTTGTTTAAATAAAGACTTTGAAAACGTAATTGAATGGTGTGCTGAAAACAATATGATAATAAATAACAAGAAGTCCAAATGTATGCTTATGGGATCTGAGAGAAAACTTGAGAATTGTAATGATGTCTTGTGTGTATTATCGCAAAATCAGACTTCATTTGACAATGTGGAAGTAGAAAAACTTCTTGGTATCCATATAGATAAAAATCTGTCATGGTCAATTCACATAGATAAAGTATGTGAGATTTTTTCAAGCAGATTATACCTGCTAAATAGATTAAAACGATACTTGCCTCGCAAAGGTCTTATCCTTTTTACAACAGTTATATATTACCAATAATTGATTATTGTTGCACCATATGGGGTTTTACCGCAAACTGCAACATTGAGCGGATTCATAAGCTGCAAAAGCGCACAGCAAGATTAATTTTGAATAAACCTTTTGATTATCCATCAATATCAATGTTTAAAGAACTTAATTGGATGACCATTTTTACACGGATAAAATATTTTCAAGCCATTTTAATGTTTAAATGTATGAACGGACTAGCGCCAGATTATCTTACTAGTAAATTTACTGCGTGCAGTGATCTATATAGTTATTCTCTTAGGTCAACAACATCTGGACATCTTCATTCACCAAGGCCAAAGTCTGAATACTTCAAAAAGACTTTTCAATATTCTGGTCTAATTATTTGGAATAGTTTGCCAAATGTTATAAAGGATTCAAGTCATATCGAAAGCTTTAAGGTGAAATGTGCTAATCTTTTTTTCACAAAACAAAATGAGTAGACAAACTTTTTTTTTCTTAGGACATTCTTGCCATGCTAGTTCTACAGTCTGTTTTCATGCTTGTGTATATAAATTTGTAATTGTGTACATCTCTATTGATTATTGTGTTATATGCATTGATTGTTATATGTATTAATTGTTCATTTTAATGTGTGAAGGCCTCGTGTGAGATTAACAATTGTATGTTAAATGAGTTACCTTCGTTAAATAAAGAATTTATTATTATTATTATTATTATAATAATCCACGGAAATTACGAAAAGGTCAATAATCGCTTTTCTTCGAACGCACCTTAGATGTTCATTGGTCATGTGACACAAAACCCGTACTGTCAAAATGTCGAACGCTCTGAAATTTGTATTGGTAAGATATTTTAACCTTCTGTGATTTACAATAGTTGATGTTCTTTTGCTTAAGAACAAAAAAGACTGTTTTTTTTTAATTTTCAAGTCTATTAAAATTGATCAGACCCGAACAAATTAGGTTTTTAGAGAGTCTAGGTACTTGTTGCATAACTAACTGATCGATTGGTAACCATATTAAATACGAGGCAGGTATTACCTGTTAAAGGAGACAAAGTCCGTATAAGTAGCTATCTAAAATAGGATTACTTAATTTTTCAATTTTGAATTGATAAAGATCTTTTGAATTTTATTACGTGCTGTAAATTGTGATGCCATCTTTTATGTATGATCACTTATCATACTTATACATGTACATCATACAAAAAATAACTTTTAATATTAATGATAATTGATAAAATAATATAATTGGTTAAATCTGGGTCTAGTATATCAAGAGACTTGCAACTTCTAGTAGTAATCATCAGTAATATAATTTTTCGGTTTATTACAGCTACTTATTTGCTTTTAATGTTGAACACATCAGATATATGTAAAAAATTGTTAAAGAAAAGATGTAGAGAAGAATCTGTATGAATAAAAGAATGCAGGTGCTGTTAATTTTACTTTAAAACCAGTGCTATATTGACCAGTAATTTATCAATATTTGTGTCACAATTATCAGTGATTCATTTCAGACAATAAGCAAAATTGTCTAACCGGCCTATTTAAACTCATAAAAATGCAATAAAACTTGTATTTATTTATTACCAATTTCACTGTCTTTTAACATGTCATTTGTATATTTTATTACAAGAAATGTAGGTTTTAAATAAAGAATAAACCCCCATTTTGATGAAAAAAAATTTTAATGAATTTCTTAGGAAATTTTTTTTTCTCCCTGGAAAACTAAAAATTCAATAACAAAAAAACTTTGCTATCCTTAGAAACATCTTCTTTCAACCATATAAAAATCATTAATGATAAATTATCAAGAAAGAAAGAAATCTGGGTCCATTTGCCCAAAATCATGTTCGCTCCCATTCACGGTCGCCCTCTTTCACATTCACAACCTTTTTAAAGGTCTTTGGTATTTTTGCTAGGGTAATGCTTTAAAATAAACATGATAGTAATTTATTGTTTTAAAATAAAGTAACATTCTAAAAATGTAAACGGTTTTCTTGTAAATGTTTTTGAGAAGTATTTTGACGAAATGAAAAATGAATATTGTCATGATGTTCAAAGGCAGAGTTCATTTATCTAAGACTTGTAAAAGAAAGGCGGAACATATCAAACAGTCATCAAAACTTGTCACAGTGACATTGAATCTTGAAGCAATCATAAACATCAACAGCTCACATAATCATTCAAATCATTCATTATTCCAACTCAAAACGAGCACTTCAACCATTCAACTTCCATGTCATATAATTTTTATCAATATCAAAAGGCAATTTTAAGAGGAGTTAGAATAATAATAGATCAATGTTTGAACAGAGAAATATGCTTCCATATACTGCAGCAATCAACGGCTAGAGACATGGTTCCATAGAACCCTTTGCAAATTTTCGTATATGTTAGAATTAAGAAGGAATTTAGACGAAACATACAGTCAATTGTAGAATTGTCTCCTCAAAAGCATATGTTTTTATATGATGATCATATTAACATTTTATTATTGTATTTTCAGGACCCAGCTTTTTCTGGATTAGACATAGTAAAGGATAAAATAAACTCAGTATGTCAGAACTTACAACCATGGCAGGTAGTCCTTTACACATGTGGTACTACAGTTGTTGTTATATCTGTCAAGAATTTTATATTCAATGAAGAAGAAGGTGAGTTGATGACAATATTTGTTTTTCTTGGACAATTTGTTTGAATTGAAATAACAATCATGCAAAACCATTGTCTTACATATGGTAAAATGATAAAAAATCTACACTATGGCAATACATATATCTGAATCAGAAAGCCATCATGGAAAAATGATTTGTTTTAGAATGAGTTTGTTTTTTATTTTGTTTTTTTTATCATGTTTATGTGGTTTCAGACTAAAATAAAAAGTCATATAAATCTATGGAAAAGTTCAAATGGTTAAGTATTTAAATTCAAAGTTTTAATGAACTAAAAAGTTCATGAAAATGAGTACTTAAAACATATTTTGATGAATAATGAGATGTTGAGTTTACAAAAATGAGATAGCAACCCATCAAAGCAGAAAGACACACAAAAGATATTGTGAGGTCAATGGTGGAGAGGTGTCTCTAAATCCCCTAAATTTAGAAAATACATTTTGAAAGATGTGAGCAAATCAAACAGAAATCACATAAGAACTTCTGTTAATACCAAATTGTTTAAAGAACATAAAAAAAAAAATCATAAGATTTAACAAAAGACAACTGCAGACAAAGTTCCTGACTTTTTTTATTTAGTTTTTTGAGAAAGCAACCCTCCTCCTTTTTATGTTTCAATTAGTGGAATAGTAAAAAGAATTTAGAAGTATGTATGATAAAAATCAGTTCCGTAAAAAGCACTTAACTCTTACATCGACTCTATGATATCTGTAAAACAAATAACAAAAACATAGATTCATGTAAACAGTCCTGAATAATACCATATCAGAGAAATTTCCCTGTTACTGAAAGCAATGTCAAAGTACTTAATAATCTGATATAGCATATATTAAACAGTAAGGGTAAATTGTATTATTGAATATCTATAAATTCATTTTGTTTGTTTCTTATAGATCTTGTACCTCGTATGAAAAAGAAATTCTTCAGACTTGTCAAAATGATTCCACTAGTGAAGAAGAAAATAAAGGAAGAGAAAACCAAAATGTCTTATGAAATGGAAGAGTCATTCCACAAACAAGTGGAAGGTTACATCTTAGCTCTTCCTGCTAAAGGATTGCCAATGGTAAGTTCAGTGGTATTTTTTGTTTGTTTGAAATATAAAGTCATAGGTGATATCTTTTTGGTAACATTAATCTACCTACATGACCTATATATGACAAGTTCTATTTTGGAATCATTCAAAATACACATTTTCATAAAATTGGCTCCTGGCTCTTCCTGCTTAAGGTATACATTTAGTTATACGTGTTTGTAATTGTTCTGTTGCAGAATTTAGAAATAGAAGTTTAAAAAGAAATCAGTTGAAATCATTGTGAAGAAGATATTGTTTAATGAATGTAAAAACAGTAATTCCTTGAACTTTAATTTTTTTGTGAAAATTTATATTAAAGTTGTCATTCATTTGTACATACAAGATAATATAATCACAGTAACATGAAAACAAGAAGTTGTGGTATGATAGTCAATGAGACAACTCTCCACAACATGTACATTTGATTGATTGATTGTTGTTTGCATTATGTCCTGTGTCAAGTATTTCATGCATACTAATCTTTATTTGACAACTTGAAACAAAAAAATATAACAATTGTAATTTTTGTTACTAGGACAGTGTTATAGATGAATTAAAGAAATACAAGCAGATTGGTAAGATTTATGTATTGTCAGTGTTATTGAATGGGCATCACCTAATTTGAATATACTGTCTTTTTTGTAAGATTGAAAACAACAAACGAATATTAAATATGATATGCAGCAACAAACAACAACCACTGAATTACAGGTTCCTGACTTGAGACAAGCACACATAGAATTTTGCGGAGTTAAATGTGTTTGCGGGTGCCCAACCCTCCCCTAACCTGGATCAGTAGTGTGACAGCACCAACAGCACAACATAAGAACAAACTATAAAAATCAGTTGAAAAGGTCTAGACTTATCTGATTGTTACAGAGCACAAATCAGCTAACAAAAACACTTTTCTCCAAAATATATATTGAATAACTAACGAAGTAACAAGATATATTCTTTAAATTGATGGGCTACACACTAGAGCAGACTCCTTCGGCATACACTTTTTGCTTAAAGTGACTTAACCATATCGCCTAAATCGGTACTGTCAGAGTGAAAATTTTGTCTGCAGGACTGTTAGTTACAAATTTATACATAAAACCAACTTTCACCTGGAATTTGTTACAAGATATTTCTTAATAAGTACAAAGTTGTCCCGCACTGAGGTGACTCTCATAAAATGGCTTAAGGCATCAGTGACTTCTATTGTGATCACATCTTCAATTCTTCTTTCCGGGTTGACATCCCTACTAGATATCTAAAATTGTCAAATCACAGAAGAATTCTTTTTCTTTGTCCCTTCCTGCTACTGAAAATAATTTTTCATCAATTTGACAATTAATAGTATTTCAAGTTCTCTTGTGTTCCTAATGAAGGTTGATTCAGAAATTCAGTTGAATTGCAACAAATTCAGTATATTTGACTATGTTCCCTTACAGATGTTATTAATTTCAATGTGATGTAATTGTTTTGTGCTAAGGTAGCTAGACAAATGAAATTATCATTGTATGAAAATCTTAAATATAAGAATTTTTTATGTCCCTCCGTAGCAGTGGGGGCATTAAGTTTTACCCTTGTCCGTCTGTACGTACGTACGTCCCAAAATTGGTTTCTGTTCTCTAACTTGAGTTTGCCTCAACCAAATGTTATGAAACTTATACACAATGCTTATTACGACAAAACACAGATCAAATTTGAATTTTGGTGGCGTCACTTTAACCATTCTAGAGTTATGCCCCTTTATAAATGGAAAAATTGCAAAATGTTTAGTTTCCGTTCTCTAACTTAAGTTTGCCTCAACCAAATGTTATGAAACTTATACACAATGCTTATTACCACAAAACGCAGATCAAGTTCAAATTTGGGTAGCGTCACTTTTATCGTTCTTCAGTTATGTCCCTTTATAACTACATGTATATGCTATGCAAGCGGGGGCATCATCTGTGTCCACATGTGGACACTATCCACATTTATTTAATTATGACTGTATACAGCCATGGCAGCATTTTAATATTACCTCTTTATTTTCTTTTCTTTAAATTTGTTATCAGAAGCTAATATGAAAATAAGGAGATCATCAGATGTATGTTACTTTTTCATCATGTCACATTTCAGAAGTCTGCAAAAAGAAAGACAACTTTTATCTTTAAAATGACTTTATTTCCAGCTGAGATTGATTGGGAGTCAGGACTAGTATCTGGTACAGTATATAATGGAGACCCAAAACTTACAGATTTAATGTCAAAGGTATGTATTATCATGCATTCCCAATACTTCAAATCTCCAGTTCATGTTCATCGTTTTCTTTGTAGGATAATTATACCCCCGCTTTAAAAAAAGTGGTGGTATACTGTTTTACCTCTGTCCGTCCGTCCATCCATCCATCTGTCGGTCCGTCTGTCCCATGAATATTTTTCGTCGCATCTTTCTCAGGAACTACATCATAAGGATTTCTGAAATTTGGTTTCAGGGTTTATATAAGTCAGCTATACTGTGTGATCGTTTTCAGAATCATCACTCAACAACTTTCTGTTTACCGTCAAGTATTTGGGCGGGGGTATCATCAGTGAGCAGTAGCTCGCAGTTTCACTTGTTAATATATCCCTACTCTACCTAAGAGTGGGGGGGTGATACTGCCTGCATTCAACTTGTCTGTCCATCCATTTTGATTGGCCAACAAATATTTCAGCCATACTTTTCTCACAACTGAACAACTTCATAATTTGTTAGAAGAATGACAGTGATAAGTTGTAATGTGTGAACACTTTTCGAAGACACCTACTTCCTGCTTGTGGATACTTTGAATATTTAATATATCAATTGAACTTTATTTTTTTCATCGCACATTTCTTCAGTACTACTGAACAGAATGACTTCATATTCAGTCAGCAGTGTTTGACAAATTCTGCATGCAAGCCCATAGGAAACTTATATTTTGTTGAACACTTTAATTCATGGTTCACCTATATTCATGAAATCCAGAATAGTAAGTATCTGAAAAATGATAATGAATTGACAGAATATTATTTTAACAGTTAAATCTGCTATAAAATCCTTATTACCATGGATCTATCACTATTTTCAAATATTAATTTTAATGGATGTTGATAACAGGGAGGCAAACCACAAACTTTGAATGTATTCAGCATTGCTTTAATAGAAGCAATAATGAAAAAATGAATGCCCCTAGAAGAGTCTTTTGAGAATGAAAATTGGAATTTACTCAATTATCATGCACATTGATGTAAAAAGAATATAAATACATTGATTCAAATTTGAGAAAAAGTAAAATAAGGAATGGGGGTTAAGAAACTACGAAGGAAATCAAGAATCTAATTTCAAAGACAGACAGAAAAATGAGAGAAAAAAACAAAGATGAAAAGACAAACAATAGCTGACAAAAGAGGTTATGTTACTATATTTTTACTTAGTTATTCAAACTTCTGAATGTCGATTGGTTAGATTCTCACATTTAAATGTTTCATGGAATCTGAAATTCATTAATTTATTGTTTACTTACATTATGTGCATCTCTTGTAGACATATGGGATGTTTGCTTGGACTAACCCGCTACATGCTGATGTCTTTCCTGACATAAGGAAGATGGAAGCTGAAGTAGTCAGGATGTGTTGTTCTATGTTTAATGGAGATTCAGACACTGCTGGAACAGTAAGTTTAGCATCAATTAGTGTAGAAATGATCTATGTTTAATTGAGGACAAAAGACTGGTGACAACATCTTTTTAGCCATATACTATAGCTATTATTAGACTGGAAATTGGGCAAAATTTTGTTTCCATAAGTTATCTTTTGAACCATATGTCCAACTTTACCGAACTTGATTTGATAAGGAAGAACCCTATAGATTTCAGTGTCCATGGGTCAAAGGTCAAGGTGATAGCAGCTATTGATAGTTTGAATTTAGGGCAAAATTTTATTTCCATATGTTATATCTTGAACAATTTGTCCTACTGTTACCAATCGGTGTAATTATGCCCCATGAGATGAATATTACCTCAATTGATTTTGAGGCCAATACATCTAAGAGCAGCAATTAATACATGTAGACTGAAATTTGGGCAAAATTTTAGATTCCAAGTTATATTTTTTTAACCAAATGACCTACTTTCATCAAACTTAGCTTTAAAAAGTCCCTTGTAAAGAACATGACCCTTGTAGATTTTGTCTGACACTTACTTCCTGTTTGCTTATACTCTAAATTTTTCAATATATTGAATAAGCTTAGAATTTTTGTCACACTTTTCTCAAGTACTACTTAACAGACTTCATGTTTAGTCAGCATCTTAACTGTGATGAATTGTAACATGTAAGCATTTTTCAGATCTTTAGGACACCTACTTCCTGTTATGTGATACTTATGCCCGGATGGTATGCTTATCACCACAAGTGGGAATTCTTGTTTACTGTTGTAGTAATTTGAGCAATAGTCATACAACTAATAAAATAAATTTTATCACTATTTAAATAGAAATAAGCACTTATGAAAATTTCAATGTAAATAAGCATACATGTTTATCAATATTTTAGTGTAAATAAGCAGTTATCAATATTTTAGTGTCGATTAGCAGTTATCAATATTTTAGTGTAAATTAGCAGTTATCAATATTTTAGTGTAAATTAGCAGTTATCAATATTTTAGTATAAATTAGCCCTTAAAGCATGGAAGTGAAATATAAGCTTATCAATTAGTATGCCTTTTACTCACACAGGATATGACTTTAGTAACTATTGATTGGATGCATTTTGACCTCATTGCAGCAAACTCGAATGAAATTTTATTTTTGGAGTCAAATTCCTACTTTCAGGAAAGAGTTATAGTCATATTATTATCTTTTGATTAGATGACATCTGGTGGAACAGAGAGTATATTAATGGCTTGTTTAGCATACAGAAATATAGCCAGAGAAAGAGGTGTAAATATACCAGAAATGTTAGTAGTTTGTACATGATTAATTGTTATTTATTCGTTTAGTCTGTGTATATATATTTTAAATCGTGTTGAAATCTTTTTAAAGGGAGTGAAAACATGCTATAAAAAGCTTGATACTTTAAAACATATAAGAACTAGATGATATATATATGGGTGATGCATGTCTGATGGTGGGCTTTTTCATCTGGAATATTTCAGTTTTCGATTAAACTTACATGAATTAATGAATTTATAAAATTATGGTACATTTTCATGAGTAGGTCAGTTTCTCAAGACTATAAAATACCTAGACCCACACTGTCTATTGATGCTTTACCATAAGCTTACATTGGTCTGACACATGATACTCTTAAGTTCTGAACTCATTTTTAAAATAGACTGAATCCCAAATATTTGTGTTATGTTTTTGCATTTTACTCTTGTAATGTATTTTTCTTTAAATTTCTTTTCAGTATTGCACCAATCACAATCCATGCAGCTTTTGACAAGGTATTTGTCTATTGGAATGTTTTACTCTGTTAACTGTAGCAGACTTACCTGTTACTGTTCACTTTCTTGTCCTCTTATATTTGTAAAAATAATATCATAAGATTTGTTTTTTTAGTCTGAATCCAATGTTTGTTGTTTTAAAACACCTTTTTCTATGCAGTTATACCATTTTCTGAGTTCTGTTCAATAAAAATTCATATGAAAATTCTTGAATTTTTATGGTAACTCTTAAAACATGCAATATAAGTTATGTCTGATTTCTATACCTACAATGATGCAATAACTGCTTGATTTTCATTTGGGGGATAGTAAATATCAGTTCAGAACATATCTTTTTAATACTGTGGCTATACATTTTGTGGAGTACTTTTTGTGGACTTCTTTGGTAAAGTTTAACATCAAAGGAGTAAGTTCGGTAAGGGCCATAATTGACCCCGATTATGAAGTTCAATGTTTCAAGATAAAACATGTTTTAAGTTGAAGAAAAGACATGTGAGAAAGTCAAATCTAATTTTATCCAAGTTTTATTTATTAAGTGATGAATTTTACATCCGAAAAAGGCCAAAAATAGAGATTTTTGCGAAATTGACAAAATAGTCCGGATTGCTGCCAGATTTAAGGCCTGGGAAATATAGAGTGCAGGCGTCGACAAACTAAATATTCAAGTTGGATATGTAAAATGTTATAACAAACATTATGTCAAAAGATAGTTCTTGTCAACACATGCGCTTTTTTTTTTTGTCCAAAAAATCAAAAGAAATTCATCCGATTTCATTGGCTTTTTGTGAAAAATCGAAATGAGTGCTATTTGTGACGTCATGAATAGAAAAAGCATGTAAATTTTTAACAAAGTGACATATTTCCTATCTAGTCATTGTATTAGCTATGATTCATTGTGATATTGGTCAATAAATCTTTTTTTGAAATTGTAGCTAGAAATAGGGGCCATTTTAGGGCCTTATCAAACCTTCTCCTTTACATGTTCAACAAAATACTGATTTTCAGTACGCTTATTTGCAGTATTTGGTAAAACCACAAAATCAGGCATCTAGGAAAACAGTATTTTTTCTTAAATAAAGCTGGTACTGAATAAATGAATCTGGATAGATTTTTAGCTCACCTGGCCTAAAGGGCCATTGTGAACTTTGTTATCACTTGTCATCTGTAGTGTTCCGCTAACTTATACAAAGATCATCATTGGAAACTGCCTGGTCAAATTAAACCAGCTAACATGTACATGAATTTGCCAGTCGTCTTTTTATACGAAATATTGCCCTCAAATGACGATTTGACTTTTTTTTGTATTTTGAGCAATACTATAGAAGATACAGAGAAAATGTTTGAATAATATTCTAGTCTAAAATGTTGGAGATAGAGAATTGATGAAGATGCACATAGACCTTGGTGAGCGACACAGGTTCTTTAGAGCCTCTAGTTGTTTAATCCAGCTGCTGTAGTTAAACTTTAATTTTATTATTTATCATAGGCGGCATCATATTTCCGAATGAAGTTAACTCATATACCTATAGATGAAGAAACTAGGATGGTTGACATCAAGGCTATGAGAAGAGCTATAAATAAAAACACATGCATGGTAAGTGTAAATGTTAAGTTTATTTATAAAACATAAAAGGGACAAATGGAATAACCAAAAACATTGGACAGCACAACAGAACACACCCACCAACAGAACACACCCACCAACAACAATAGAAAACACATGGTCCAAATAGCCTGATTTAGTACAGACAAGAAAGTGTTTGCCTATTAGTCTATTACAATAAAGGCAGGAATAAAATAAAGAAATTATCTTAAAGATACCTGCCAACTTGCAGGACTTAGTCTTGAACTACACAGGTTGGATCTCTTGTCCTGATTGCGCGATCATGATCCAAAAGAAATTGTGTAAGCACAATTTAATAACTGCATGAAAAATTTGTATAATCCTCATTTAAGCTGTTCCAAATGGGAGACAATTGAGGCCTTTGATAATCAGAAAATCAAATTTGGTTAAAATTTTGTTACATATTCATCAGTTGATTAATCACGTCTCATATAAATGGTAACAAAATTGTTGTGCGAATGGAATGCCTTTTAATGATGTTAAAGAGTATTGCATTGATAATAAAACTTATTTTGTTTACAGCTAGTTGGATCAGCACCAAATTTCCCTCATGGCATTATTGACTCTATAGAGGAAATCTGTCAGGTAATTCACACTTAATGAGCTCTTTGATAGAATTATAGAACTTCATGTGCATAACAGGAATGTTTTTGGTAATACACACCTTCTGATACCCAATATGTAAGTATAGACCCTACAGAAGAAATTTGAAAATTTGTCACATAAAATTTGTTATATGCTTTTTCCAAATTGGTTGATCAATGACTCTCTCACATAATATATAGACAGAGATATATTGTTTTTGTCCTGTCAATCCACATGGCCATTTGTTCTATCACATTAGATGAGGGCCTGTGAGAAAATTAGTTGTGTAACTAACTATTTCATTTTTGTCTCGCCTTGACGGAATCAAAAAGCGAGACATAGGTATGCTGTTTCCGGCTACGACGGCGTCGGCGTCAACAATGTATTAGTTTGTGATTAGGTCTAGTTCATGGTGAACCACTAATGGTAGGTCAATGATATTTGGTATGCAGTTGTATTAGCATTGGCACATCTCATTACCATGGAGATTATTTGGCACTGCCCCCTCAGTCAAGGTCTATTGACTTTGAAACTTTGCTTAGTTTACATGTATTAGTTTGTGATTAGGTCAGTTTATGGGGAACCACTAGTGGTAGGTCAATGATAATTGGTATGCAGATGTATAAGCATTAGCACATCTCATTTCGATGGAGAATATTTGGTCCTTACCTCCTCAGTCATGGTCTATTGACTTTGAAACTTTTGCTTAGTTTACATGTATTGGTTTGTGATTAGGTCAGTTCAAGATGAACCACTAATGTTAAGTGGTTGATATTCGGTATGCAAATGTATTGGCATTTGCAAGTTTCATTTCCATGGAGATTATATAACCCCACCCCCTAATTATGGTTCATTGACTTTGAAACTTTCACATAGTTTACAAGTTAATGTTTGTGTTTAGGTTTGTTTAAAAGGAACGACTTATGAAAAGTCAATGGTATTTGGTTTGCAGTTGTATTAGCATTGGCACATCTCATTTCCATGAAGATTGTTTAGCCCTGTACCTTCAGTCATGGTTCATTGACTTTGAATATTTGCATAACTTACATGTAAAGTATTGTTTTTTTAATTTCAACATTTGCATTATCAAAATAACAAATAGGCGAGACATATCTCTGTGTTAACAGTTTATATAGATAAAGAATTATTATTATTGTCTGTTTGTCACAAAGTTTTGTTAATACAAATAAATCTCCTACATGTTACATAAGAATTAGATCAAACCTAATAGAAAGCTATGTGTAAATGTGCACCTTTCATTTAATCTTTTTACAACATGACCCTTGCCATTTCTACTTATGGAGAAACGTCAATACAAAATCTACTTTTTTCATAAATACTGTATTGATAAGAATGAAGTATAAGTTGGTAGAGATTTGTTTTGTTATATGTGAAGTTTTGTAAGATTTGGATAGATTTTTTTAAAGCTACTGTTACTTAGACAGAAGGGGGGAGAGGGGGGTATCTGTTCTTTTGTGTTCATGTTTTTAACAAAAAAACTTTTTCACACTGCTGCAATAATAAAATCGTTGATCGGCAATTTGAGGGAATAATTGAAATTTAACCATTGAAGAAATTAAAACAGTTAACAACATGTCTTTTGTCAAAAAATATATGAATCAGTGATGAATTGGTGAGCATAGCTTTGTAAATAATACTTTTTTTTATCAGTTGGGATTGAAGTACAATATACCAGTCCATGTGGACTGCTGTTTAGGTGGATTCTTGGTGCCTTTTATGGAAAAAGCAGGGTACAAAATTCCAATGTGTGATTTCCGTGTAGATGGAGTGACAAGCATATCAGCTGACACACATAAGGTAAAATATATAAGATTTGAAAGGATTTCAGGGTATTTTATTATTTTTTTATGTTAGGTGATATCACTCAAATATTTATATAATTGAACTAACTATTTAGCCGTGGTTTTCATATTTTTGGTTACATGTTAAAAGTGATCAGTTAAATAAATCTTGATAAATTGGTTATTCGACAGTCCAGTGGCACATTAAATGCCTATTCAGGAGGAGAACATGTTGATGTGATATGAATATGAATCTGCTTTGTACTATGAACACACACTGAGCAGGATTTTAACTTGTTCACAAGTTGAATTTTGTAATATACTACCTATGTTTTTGAGACTGACATTTGGTTAGGGTATATTTGTTGTACTGATACATCTAGTAAAAAATTCTGATAAAAACCAGGAGTTGTGTACATTAAACGAGCATCTTAAACCTAAAAATTGACCAAGAAAATGTTACAGTAATAACAGTCTAGTGAATTGAGGTATTAATTATATATTTCAGTATGCATTTGCCCCTAAAGGTTCATCAGTTATTTTGTACAGAAATAAAGACATAAGACAGAGACAGTTCTTTGTACAACCAAACTGGCCTGGTGGAATCTATGCTACATCTTCTATGGGAGGTATGATTAATATAAGACTCTTTAAAATCTAATATCAGTCTTAATATGTTTTTAAAGTTGCAAACCTTTCATAAAAAATAGAGGAGGGAAAAAATAATGAAAAAAAAGAAATATTTGCTAACAACATTTAAAAGAAAATATCAGAGAAAAAAATAACCACATAAGAAAATAAAGTTGAAAGGGTTGTAATGCTGGTAAACATTACATTATGATTTGATTTTTCAGGTAGTAGAGCAGGTGCTATCATTGCCGCATGCTGGGCTACACTTGTTTACTTTGGTGAAGAAGGATATGTTAATTCTACAAGAAAAATAATCGCCACAACTAGAAAAATTACAGATGGGTGTGTAAAAAGTTTTTTTTTTAAATGGAATTATTATATATTTATGAATTTATTTCCCACACTTGGAATTTATTTAAGAAAATTACTGTGTTATGAAAATTGAAAATTGGAATATTTATTTACCTCATATTGGGTCATCTGAGTGCAAAAAGTTCAGCCCACCTCACCAAAATGCCTTTTTTTGCAACCAAACATTTCTAGGTCTAAATTTTCATTCCTTCAGCCAATAAATGATGCTGAATGCCATAGAAAAAAAGCTTACACTTGTTGCAGAAGTATATATTCTGTAAAAATGACTGGAACTGCATGGTAAGGGTTAAAATTGAAACTTTTACCAAAAAGATATCTATGTAATATGCCAGTTTGTTGAATTGTTTTCTTAACTTAGCTTACTCTTTCAGTAGCTTCAAGCAAATAAGATTATGAATTGCAAGTTAACAATTTTCCATCAAAATTAATTTTATTTTCTAATTTTGCCCAACATATATATAACAACCTTTAACCAATACAAAGTGTAAGTTCAAGTGTAAAATAACATTTATGTTGTCATGGGTTGTGCTAATATGAAATTCTCCCCAAAAGTACTTAATTGACCATTTGTACTTTATCAAATTGACCTCTTAAAATTCTGTCTTATGGAAATGAAACCACTGTTGAAAATAGTATAGGCAGTCTCATATAATATTTGAATACTATATTCAAGTAATAATTTACTAGGAAAATATGGAATCAGGATTTTTTTTTATTATCAAAACTGAATTACTGTAAATTCAGAAATTATTGTGTGTATATATCATTTGAGAATCCTTAACCACTGGCAAAAATATGAAATCTAATTAATGTGATTGCAAAAATTTTATGCACAACTGAAATTATGAATGTGAGTTTTATTATTGAGAAACTGATACTGTTGCATTTTTTCACATTGATAAAAACATAGCAATCATTTCTGAATTTAAAGTAGTTATGAAATATGCCATAGAGACTCAGAGGCAGATTTAGAGGGGGGATTGATCTTGTTTGATCTTGTTTGGAAAAAAGCAACTCAAATTTGCTTGAGACAAAAGAGGGAATATCTTGTTTGGTTAAAATAACACCATTGTTTTTTGAATTACAGGTTAAGAAAAATCAAAGGAATGAAAGTATATGGTGATCCACTGATGTCAGTAATAGGCTTTGGTTCAGATGAGTTCAACATCTTCAGACTTGCTGATTATATGACCAGTAAAGGATGGGCATTGAATTCATTGCAGTACCCTAACAGGTAAAACTTATTTTATACAGTGTTTATCATACTTACATCAATAGGTTTATGAGACGTAAAACATATCCAAACTTTGTAGGAATGATATACTAAATATTCTTCAAGCTAATTCCATCTTTTGATTATGAAATAGCTCAATATATATTAAGATAAAATAGTAAATGCTTTCTTGTCCTCTGTTGTTGTTTTTTTTTAAATGTGAGACATAAATATTTCTTTTCTGGCACAGCTTTACCAATTCTAATACCTGTATATCTAATCAACTCTTACAAAAAGATCAACCAGAATTTGTATGGAGATCATTTATTATATGATCTGTTTCACATTTTATTTTTACCTGAACTTGACTTCCTTTAAATACTATTAAGACCCAGTCAAAGTTTTTGAATAAGATGTTTTCTCAGGTACTATACATGTTAAATAAATCAGATTTATGTTATAGTCTGTTGTAAGTTAATTATGTCTTATTGTCATAGTTCATTTCTCATTCTTATGGTCAGGTTTAGGATAAGGTTTCTTTCACTGTTAATGTTCATTACCAGAGATAAGAATGGAAGAATAAAGCAATTTCCTGACTGTTTTCATTGGTAAAGAAATAAACAAAATTGTTTTATTGTGAAATAATGTTGAAAAAGTTAATCTAATGTAAAATATTTTAGATTAACTTTTTCAACGTTATTTCTCAATATTTTTTCCGCCATTATTTTGTTTGAATAAAACTTGACATTTGACATGAAACTGGCCTCATTTCTTGTTTCAGTGGTCTTTGTCTTTTTTTTTTCTTAGTAACTATGCATGACTGGCCAGTGATTTGTGATTTATTGAATTTTTACATGGAATATATGTCTGCCATATGACCTCATTTTCATGTTCCCATGATTAGGTTACAGTTTTGGACTATATCTGTTTCCCTGGAATTGTACATGATAGGTCAATATGAATAAAAGGAGATATTGGTTATATGTCAATAAAACAGCAACTCAACAACAAAAATAACCATCTAGAGGGAAACAAATCTTCAACAATAGAGAGGCCTGCATTTCACAAAAAAATCTTAGACTTAAATTGGTTTGCTGAATGGTTCATGACTTACAATCATTACGTAAGATTTTTGTGAAGCTAGGGCCTGGTGTCTATATAATATGTCAAGCTCTAAATTGTCCTGAGTCTATAAGAGTTGTGAATAAATTTAACATAAACATTTAAAGATCTATAATCTACCATGAATTCTCTGAACAACAAATAACATTAAAATATGACACAAGATAACCATTGACAATGTTCCTACCTGTATGTAGCTAGGACAGACTAGTGAATAAGTGTCAGCGTTAGAGCAGACAATACAAACTGTTGTAATGCAAAAGTAAAAGTACAATGCACATAAACAAAAATAAATATAATAATTTGAAGGGCAGGGAGGATTTATTTCTACCACATTGAAAATGGAATGTTTTGCTTGCTAACAGGACATCCAATTTATTTCACTATTTAATGCTACATTTATTCTTTCAGTGTACATTTATGTGTAACATTTGTACATACACATGAAGGTGTAGCAGAAAGGTTCCTTGGTGATGTACAAAAGGGTGTTATAGAAATTTTGAAGGATCCAAACTCAGAAATTGGAGGAATGGTATGTTTATTTGCTACAGATTTTTTTTCTCTGTACACTTATATTTAGTGTCTGAAAAATTTGTTGTTCACAATATGTTAACTGTAGTTATATACAGAAAGCAAATAAACTGTGTATATTTTTGAACTAAGTCTAAGAATATGTTTTTTTATGTACAAATTTCTTAAATTTGATAGAGAAGGAGAGTGCACATTTCAGGGCAATTATCAGTCTTAAAGTTGTTGCTTTGATGCCATTAAAACAACTACTATGGTTATATACACTTATGGTTAGCTTAAATTATAACCATGTCTTTCTTGACTGTGAATGTTTTTTTCAACAGTAAAAAAGATTACTGTGAAAATCAACAACATCCCAACTTGAACATATTCCATTCCACATAGGAGCAACTCAAGACAACCAAGAAAGCTTGTTACATTACAAAAAGGACTGACCAATAGACAAATCAGTGTGATTGATCCTTATATTGTTGTCATTTTTGTTAAAATAATTAAGGGAATTGTCTTAAAATTTCTTTACAAGGTATCATATGAATGAGTGTAAGGTCAACAATTATTCATTCTTGCACAAGAATAGATCTTTCTGGTATATATATATATATTACTATATTTTCTACACAAAAAAGGGATAGAATCATACAATTAAAAAAAGTGTAGGAATTGTTCCATAAAAAAAATTCAAGATTCATGCAGTTCATAGATGGCACACAAGTTCATCATCAGTACAACATAATAAAAAAGATGATAATGATGGATATAAATAAGAAGATGTGGTATGTGTGCCAATGAGACATCTCTCCATCCAAGTCACAATGTGTAAAAAGTAAACAATTATAGGTCAAAGTACGGCCTTCAACAAGGAGCCTTGGCTCACACCGAACAGCAAGCTATAAAGGGCCCCAAAATGACTAGTGTAAAACAATTCAAACAGGAAAACCATCCGTCTAATCTATATAATAAAACGAGAAACACTTATGAACCACATCAACAAACGACAACCACTGAGTAACAGGCTCCTGACTTAGGACAGGTGCATACAAATGCAGGGGGTTTTAAAATAATGGCTATTTAAAGTTTAGTGGCAAATTAAATGCATATTGAGGATGAGAACATGTGAATGTGATATGAATATAAACCTTGCTCTATACTAGACATGCTGAGCCAGATTTTTAACATCCTTGTTGCAGGGATGGGCACGATTACTGACAAATGTACTCCGATTTTTGTATGTAATCGATTGCAATCGATTACTTTATCAAAAGTAATTATATTACATTTCGATTACTGTCAATTACATGCTACAAAATTATGAAATATAATGAAGTAAGTTAAACACAAATATGTTATTAAATGTATACGTATGTAATGTGGATATTTAGAACTTTATAAAAACAGTATTTTAAGAAAATGCATTGTTTTCAAATTTTAAGCTGACAGTTGTTTTCTAGATGGAAGCTCTTACTTAGGATCCGAAATATTAAAAAATTCTTGAAATTTTTATATTCAACATGAACGAGTGGTGATAAAGTTCTTGCCATGACATCCCATGGCTTCAGTCACTTCTTAATATTTTAGGTTATTTTCTCCATATTTTGCAAATTTTTGCTGTCATACTCATGATACTGACTTTTAAAAATTAGATATTTGGTATTTACTCATTTTTAACAGGTATATTTGAATATACATGACAATGTTGGAAGTTTCCTCTTAAAGAATATATAAAAAAGTAGAATAATTAACTAGTTCAGCTAATTTTAAAGGTGTAAATTCATTATAATTAATACATGCATGAATTAATCCCTTTATTTGGATAACCTCCCTAATTACAGGTTATAAAACTGCCAATGGAGTACATTTTATAACCCGGACAATATAATGTAAATCTCCTCTTAATTAGACATAATTGAAATCAAAACAAAGTTGGCATCTCATTGATTGGAAGTCCTTGATCATCTGATTATGAAAGACTAGAAATGTGTTGAGAATTTTTTATGCTCTATTGAAAATTATTAAAAATATATATTTTTAGTGTCAAAATGGGATACATGTAAAAATGTATCTATTTCTGAACAAGAATTTCAATGCATAGCCATTGGTACATTGTCAAAAGTATTTTGTGTACTTTCAAATTTTTAATATCATAATATTATGACGAATCAACTGCTTATCTATTCTAGCTAAAATCCCAACTCTTATTGAAAATTACGCTTCAATGTCAATGTAGTACAGAACTTAAGATAACTCTCATTTCTAATTTTAATCTATTTTCTTATTTCAAAATAAAAAGTCTTTGAATTATTGACAAGCATTGAAGACAGTAAAAGTCAATTGTTTCAAAAGCTGGATATACTGCAAAACTTGGTAGGAGATCTGGTTGATCATAATACAGCTTGAGAAAATAGATACAAATAAGACATTTGATAATCTGAAGTCTTATTAATACATTCTATTTTATCTGTACTATAAAGTGATGAATACATACATATTTTCATTCAGAATATGTTATTTTTCATCAAACTATTTTACTAAAGTAATCGAAATGTAATCGAAAAGTAATCAATGATTACATCATAATTTTTGCTGTAATCGATTAAATTACGATTACATGTAATCAAAAATGTCTTCGATTACAGATTACTGTCGATTACTTGAAAAAAATGTAATCAATTACAATCAATTACGATTACAGATTACGATTACCCCATCCCTGCCTTGTTGACAAGGTAACTGTCTGTTTGAAGGCATACCCTCCCCAACACATTATTCTGAATCCCAGCCAACCAGTATTTGATCTTACTCCTAAATGCTGCATGCTTATCAGAGAAGCAGTAAATACCAATTATCAAGTCTAGTATCAAGTATTTTGTTTGACCCAGCCAGGGATTGAACCTACAACTTCCCATACTAAAGGCAATCATGCTGCCACAAGACCACCATGGGGGTTAATAAAATAAAATAGACATGACACTATTTGTAGCGAAGAAAAATATATGCGAAAATTGACAAAAATTGTAACCCTTAAAAAGGTTGTCATGCACAAAACCCCTATATTTAAACTTTTTTTTCTGTGTGGGATGTAAGAATTCAGAAGATAGATCATTCAATGCCTGTTGTACTTTAAATGCCAATCTCTCTGCATGTTAAAGAACCCTTTACAGCTCTATGAAGGGTCGGCAGGTGGCCTATTGCAAGGCAAAATGTCTGCCCCTATCCAACAAACCCTTACTTTCAAGTGGCATTGCAAATTTCCCACCATTATGGTCGTGCCACCTTGCACAACCAACGTAATGTATTGATATTTGTTCTCGTCCTGAAAATTTTTGAAACAATTGCCACTCAACAATCAATCATTTAAAAATCTTCTTTCTAAAAATGTTATTAAAAGTTTTAATTTTGAAATATAAATTGTAGATTGCACATTCTGAAAATCATTTAATGATATAGTAAATTGTCTGAGTTTGTGGACTTGCCTTTCCAGAGCTTCCATGCTTTGATTTTATTTGAAAAGAATAAGCATGTAATGTACCGGTACTGTATTTTTTAACACTTTGACACTTGATTTTCAGGGTGCTATCTATGGAATGGCTCAGACTATCCCAGACAAATCTATGGTTACAGAATTAGTTGGATGCTTCTTAGATGCTCTTTACAGTACAGAAAAACATTAAAATTTTTCTGTGATGTTATAATACTCACATGATTATCTTTGATATTATAGTGGATATAGTCCAGATGTTATACCATTTATGTATTTTGAGAGATTTTGGTGCCAAGTTTACTACTTTTCTCATAGCCTTGCCAATTTACATGTTATCGTGATATTTGAGATACTTTTCACATGTAAATGGCAAAATCATGCGTGTTATTTACCATGTGACTGCATGATGGATTTGTTTTATATAATATAAATGCTGCCAAACAGCATATATCTGCTTTTCAGAAGAACTGTATCTCTGGATTTGCACTTTATTGTTTTCTCTAATTCTTCATGATTTATTTATATATTTTTAATTGTTGTTTTTTTATTTATTTATTTCATAAGAGTTTAGTTATTTTTTATCTCTTGAAAAAGTATGTTGATGTTTATTTAAATTATCAACTAGAATCGTAAGGTAAAAATATTCTACAAAAGCATCATGTTAGGTGCAACATTTCACCATTATTGCTAGTCAAATTATCAAACCGCTTGGCAAGTCTTGCTTATTAGAATTTGAAAATAGAACTGTGTTACGTTCAGAAATATTACATTTTGTAGTGATAGAATTTGTATTTCCATATTCTTTTTATAAAAGTTTAATTGTCAATTACAAGTATAGTATTACCAACCTATTTACCTCCCTTTTATGCCTGTCTCACTTCTGTTGTTAATTTTGAATTATTGTAAAAATACGTAAATTATAACTGATCTAATTTGAATTCTATACATAATTAATTGCAATACTTGAAAAAAGACAAGTACAAATGAATACAGAATGTGTTATATAATTTTCTGGGTTATATGGAATCATGAAGTAAATGATTTCAATCATAGACATTGTAAATAGGTAGACCACAAAATTTAATATTATGAAATATTTTTTCCAAGTAAATTTTCAAATGATTGATAGATTGTCGTTAGCCCACTTCAAAATGGTAATTGATTTAATAACTTGATTCTTGTGTCAGTATGCATGAATTTACTTTCATGCATTTATTTTAAAAATGGCTAATATTATAGATAATGCACATTTCTCATTTTTTGTTAATATATACAGCCTAAGAATAGATTTTATGTTTAAAAAAATGTTTAATAGTAATCAAACAGCAAAATAAAATGTCATATTAGAAATTTTTTGTCAGCCATCAAATCAAGTTTGTAAAGTAACAAAATCTTCTGCAAGCTTTTAAATTTAAAATGGCATACATTAAGATTATATCAATGTTTTAATTTGTTTAAATGGGAACAGTATAAGTTGTATACAGCAATACTTAACTTTCTTGTCTACAATTTTTAGCCTCAAAGACCAAAACATGGATTAATTTCATGATGTTATGACATAAACAATATTCATAGATATATTTGTCATAAAAATAAACCTCTCTAATGTGAAATGTAAAGGAAACAAGGAAAGATAACCCCGTGTCTTTCATTATTTCCTGAAAATCATGGATTCAAAACAATCTATTGACAAAAAAATTTCTATGGATCATTTTCGTCTCGCCTCTGATGAAAGTAGTGGAAAGCGAGACATAGGGATTGCTTTACTGGTGACGGCTGCGATGACGGCGTCAACAATTGTTAAGTTTTCTGCTTAAGTTAGTTTGATAGGAACTACTTGTGATAGATCATTGATATTTTGTATGAAGATGCATTACTATCAGTACATATCAGTTTGATGACAATTTTGAGACCCTGCACCCTAGGCCATGGTCCAGTGACTTTGAATTAATTAACAATTTTAAATGTTAAGTTTTCTGCTTCAATTAGTTTGATAGGAAGTACTTGTGATAGATCAATGCTATTTTGTATGAGGTTGCATTACTATCAGTACATATCAGTTTGACGACTATTTTGAGGCCCTGTCCCCCTAGGCCATGGTTCATTGACTTTGAATTAATTAGCTATTTTAAATGTTAAGTTTTCTGCTCAAGTTAGATTGATATGAACTACTGGTGATAGATCAATGATATTTTCTTTGAAGTTGCATTACTATCAGTGCATATCAGTTTGACGACTATTTTAAGGCCCTGCCCCCTAGGTCATGGTCCAGTGACTTTCAATCAATTAACAATTTTTCAATGTTAAGTTTTATGATTAAGTTAGTTTGATAGGAACTACTTACAATAGACAATATTTTCTATAAAGTTACATTGCTGTTTGTACATCACAGTTTGTCAACCAATTCGAGGCCCTACCCACTAGTTGGTCTAGCGACTTTGAATTAATAAGCAATGTTACTGTCCATCAGATTGTCTGTTTCTGAATTTTATGCCGACAGGCGAGACATATTTCTGTGTCAACAGTTTATTTGTTTTATACAGCAAAGAGGTATATCTCTCTATATATTCTATATAAGTCGATGTAATTTATAACTTCCATCAAAGAAGGGTGAACTTCATTTTTGTCTCGCCTTGGCAAAGTCACAAAAACAAGGCTTAAACATCCTGTTTCCAGTGGCAGGGGCATCAACAATTTGTTAAAGTTTGTGATTAAGTGAGTTTAAGGGGAACTACTCAAAATAGTCAAAAATATTGTAGTTGTATTTCCATCAGCAAATCGTTTAGCCCTGCCCCTTAGTCATGGTCTTTTGACTTCAATTCTGCACATTTCAGGATACTTAATATGTATGCTAAAGATAGATGTTATGGTCTTATAAAAATGGCTATCAATTTAAATCAAAAGATAAAAAATTATAATAGATGTAAGGTTTTTGTTTGAAACAGTATTGTGTTGTAATCAATGTAACTAAGGTTTAGTGTTATGTGTTATGCAGATTTGGTTAAGTGTTGTATTCAATGTAACTCAGAGAAGATTTTACTTTTGATGCTATTTTTGTATAGTTTCACAGTCATCACTATGTTGCTAAAGAAATCCATGATGTGAAAATGTGTTCAAAGGAAATGATTGTTTACAGTGATTCTTCTAAGAATCATCCATAAATGCTCAATAGTTCAGAACTTAGAACTGCTTGTAATTTTTATTACAAGGAAAATTCATTGATAATTGATATTTATTACATCACATATTTTGAAAGTTAATATGATCTATTAATCTGAATAAACTAATGTAAAATAATTGGAGAAATTTGAAGAATTATTATAAGGAATAGATGTTTAAGACTAACAATTTTCTGTTTTAAGATTTCTCCACACTGTTTTCAAGATCTTTATTTTCAGTTTGCTTATATTTGCCTTCTTTTCCTTATTTTTTGCATTCTGATTAAGTTAAGTGTGTTTACCAATTTTAAAATTTGCCATACAATAAAATTGTTCTTACTGTTAAATAACAAAATATGATGTCAGGCTGTAATTTGATATCATTTATGCCAGATTTGATTGACAGAACCACTATCTTAACTGTAGTTTGTGTATATATTTAGGGACAAGTATAATAATATTATTTTCGGATTATTTTATATTTCGAAGGAAAGAGATTTCTGGTAAAAATGTAGCTGTTAACACTGGATTATTAACTTTATATTTTCGTAAAAGTGCTAATTATTTAATATTTATTTATTATTTTATGAGTTTTACTAACAGTAAATTATAGATTATTGTTGAAGTGATTTCCAAATAATGTCATGTGACTGTTGTCTCATTCATATTTTTATTATATATAAATATTTCGTTTAAGAGAATTTGCAATTCAATGCTTTTATCAATCAGAATTTATGAGTGCTTACAAAAGGTTTTAGGTTTATAATTGTGGTCCTATAGCACTTTTTAAGAAAATAAAAATGTGACCACTAAATATAAAAAAGAAGATGTGGTATGATTGCCAATGAGACAACTCTCCACAAGAGACCAAATAAGCCTTGTCCAGTAACATTCATAAAAGCAAGTTTTCAGAATTACTGTTTGTATACTGTTTATTGGATTTTATCATAAACATAAAATTTTGGGAGATCATTTTTTTAGTAGTTATTAACAATTTCTTATAGTGAATAATGAAAAAGTTTAAGTTTTGCCAGTCAAAATTCATAATTTGGTTTTACAATGGTCTCAGAATATAAGTCAGATATTTGTTTTTAAAAGAAATTTAAAAATGTTATTGATTTAACATGACTTGAGGTCAACAAAACATGAATTCTCTTAAATAATATTTCAAATGAGCCAAATTACTATTTTATTTGACTGTAGAACTATTTATACTTTTCTTTTCAATATAAGATGAAACAAAAATGAGGGGTCTTTATTACAAAGATATGTTTTTTAAATTGTTAAGTGCTTTTTTATAATTTTTTGCTAATTATATATCTTATCATGACCATACAAAGTTGTTTTATCTTGCGATAATTTTTTTCTTGTGTTAATGCACCAACAATGCAATTATTGTGAATGATGTATGTATATACAATATTTATAACAATTAAATTTTTAAAGTGAAATTTTATTACAACGATGCTGGTATGAATATTTATAGTGAAAATGGGTATAATATGTGTTCAAGATAAATATGTTCTTAAATAAGACCTTATTGTAGGTCTAGTTTATATAGAATGACTGAGAGAATTTCTGGTTATTATATATAAAAAAAAACATAATTAACAAGTACACAAGATAGAGGATTCACTGTCATGAAAGACATCTATATTTTTAAATAGTCATCCAGAGAAGTGATATAAGGGACATGACTTTAGTATCAGACTTTTTGAGTACTGTAAATTCAGATATTATTGCAATGTTTTTATTGCCAAAAATGCAAGAGCCTTGATCTGTGACCCTTAAAAAAAAATCAATGATTTTGCGGATTGCAAAATTAAAACCTTACATTTTTACATGGGGTCCTTAAATCACAATAATAAGTGCAACTATAATTTCTGAATTTACAGTATAACATAATACATGTATAATGGATGATTGAACAGGTCAAATAATTCACTTTATTTTGTTGTTGAATTTTTTCCTAGGTAAAGAGGAGAAATTCAAATGTCAAATATGTTCCCTGGTTCTATTGCATATTACAAATGCATTATACAAATTTATTATAAGTTTGATACTTACTCTTAGTATAGTGTATGTCTTTCTCAAGAGAGCACAAGTATATGATCAATGTTAGCATATTTATCATCAACACATTCAATAACAAAAGAGAACTCTATTGGAAAGGAGAACCCTATCTTCCTTATGCCTCAAAGAGGATTTTGAAACTGTCAGGGACCAGTCTTTTAATTTTGTATTTTACACTAATCTATTTATAATGAAAGAGAATTTGTAGATCATTTTATTTAATTGTAAATTTTTATGATATACATGTTATTGAATAAAGCAGGAAATGAGTATACAGTGAGTCAAAATCAGTATACAGTGAGTCAAAATCAGTATACAGTGAGTCAAAATCAGTATCATACATTAACATAACATCATCAAGGTCTGTAGGTACTTTTGACAAAGCCCAAGTACCAGTATTCTTGAGGTTTTATAATCTTCTTTATCAAAACAGTTAAAAAAAAGAATGCCTAGAATGCCTAAATTTGTACCTGAAATTGGAGTTGTACCATATCTTTGCTATGTTAAAGAGCAATTACTACATTCTAAAATAAACTCATAATTTTTTTTTATTTATTTTTTGCTTTAGACACTAATTTTAGTAGGGTTTGCAATTTTGCTACATAAAAAAAAAAAGAAATAAATTAGCCACATCCTTGGAAAAATAAAATCTGTTATAGAATTGTGTACATGAGTGAGATACATAAAAATATGCTTTTTATATAGAAATAAGAAGTTATGGTATGATTGCTAATGAGACAACTCTCCACAAGAGACCAAATGACATAGAAGTTAACAACTATAGCTCCATGTAGATACATCATTATATCAATTTTTTTAAAACAAAACATAGATCAAATATAAATGGAGGTCCTACCATTAAAAAGGCAAAATCCAAAAATAATACAATAAATAAATGGCTTTGAACTCCTTACGTCATCTCACTGTTTATGTCAAGGGTGTCTCATTTGATATTTTTTAATGAAGTGTATCAGTTCTATTCTCATACTGACAGAATAGAAGATTCAAAGTACATTGTACCAACAGGTAAAACAACAGAGGAAAATTTAGTGGATCTGTTCAGTGTCGAGACTATATACTCTTCAACCTTCAGAAGAAACTGTGATAGTTTAATATAAGATTAAAATCAAATATCTCCTATATTAATCCACAGATGCAGTATTGTGTCATTGTTGTAAAAGTAATGATTTTTTTGGTAATAAAACTAACATTTTACAGATTTGGTTTGA